TGATCTGAGGTGGGGGTGTGTGGTGTGAGGTGATCTGGGGTAGGGGTGTGTGGTATGAGATAGTGTGTTGTACGAATGTCTGGTGTTGAGGTGATTGAGTGTTGTAGGTGTTTGTAGAAAGGTGTTTCGTGTGGAGTTCTTTCTTAGTAGGAATTCGTGATGTTTTGCAGGAGCACATGCTATTGAATTCTTCTAGGGTATGTGGGTGGTTGTGTGATGGTTTCAGGTAGCAGTGTGTGGTCTGAGGCAGTGGTATGGGTGAGCTGAGCTCTGGACCAGTCTTGAGTGTTGTCTGCTCTGTGGAGTGATGAGCAGTCCATGGTGGGGAGTTGTGTACTCTTTGAGGTCAGGGACCCAAGGTCAAGTGTGCAGTACTGTCCAGGCACTATGCTTTGGCATCACTGCCTTCAGGTGGCCAGAGGAGGATGTAGCTGGCCTCATTTGGAACGCCCTCACAGTAGGTAGAACCAGTGGGGAAGTGGCTTGGACATTTAGTCCCAGGAGCAAGGTGGCCTGGCAGGCTTTCAAGATGAATGGCACGGACAAGTTGTCAGAGGTAGGGCAGGCCCCTCAAATAAATGCCAGGTACCAAAAGGAGACGGCTCTCTGCCCTTGTCGTCTAGTAACAGGCCTTTTCACGGACACCTTCAGCTCTTTGAAGCAGGCCAGGCCCCCACTTTGGGTCTGTTTGTGGCTCAAGGCCCCTGTTTTGTACCACTAATGGCAGCACACTCAAACCCGCCCTTTCTATACCTTACCTTTTTGATCACAGGCACTGCTAGGAAGCAGGTGACAACAGCTGGTGTATCCAGTGTCCTTTGTGGTACACGCAGAGGGCACATGCCCTTGAGGTGGTAGATGTAGATCTTCTGGTCCTGTGGGGGAGGGGGTTATGAGCTGGGTGGAACCACATCCACAAGTATTTAACTGCCTCCCATCCTACGAGGGGCACCAGACTGGAGGACCTCACTCTATGCCTCTGAGCCTTTGAGGGGCCAGCCTAGGGGACCCCCCTCCACCTCTATGAGCCTATGAAGGGCACCAGCCTGGGGGACCACCTCCACGCCTATGAGCCTATAAGGGCCACCCCCATCCATGTCTAGGAGTTGCACTAGCCTAGGGGATCCCCTCCACGCCTATGAGCTTACGAGGGGCACCAGACTGGAGGACCCCCTCCATGACTATGAGCGGCACCAGCCTAGGGGGCCCCCTCCACGTCTATGAGCCTTTGAGAGCCACCAGCCTGGGGGAATCTGTCCATGCCTACAAGTCTCTGGGGCAGCAACCTAGGGGATCCCCTCCATGCCTATGAGCCTTCATGGGCCACCAGCCTGGGGGACTCCTTCCACACCAAGCCCTTGAGGGACACCAGCCTGGGGGATCCCCTCCGTGCCTCCGAAATTCCGTGAGGCAGCAGCCTGGAGGACTCCTCCCACCCCATGCCTCTATAGGAGCTGACTCAGGCTTTCTTCCCCCTCCATGCCCCGTTTTTGAATTTCTGTACAGAAAGTCTGGAATCATCTTTGGAAGGTAATTAAAGTCACCCATGACATACTGTTGGGAATGGGGGAGCATACCCTTCCCAAAGGGAGCTGTGGTGGCCTAGTGGGAAAGGAGCTGCATTGCCAACCCAGAAGTCAGCAGTTTGAACCCATCCAGGCCTTGCGGGAAGAAGATGCACAATTTACAGCCTCTGAAAACTTGCTGAAGGGGCAACTATGAGTCAGTTCCACCATAACAGTGAGGATCTCCCTTCTCCCGTCTCTGTCCACAGCAAGCAGAGCCCACAGCTCACCAAGCAGTCAGCATTCCGAGTGCCAATGTGCCCAGGTGCACCAGAACGGCCCATCAATCTGTGATGGGGTGGTGAGTTTAGTCTGTCACCAGACTTCACTCTGTATTCTACAAGGATGACCATTCCTACAGACCTCTTTCTGCCTATTCCTGTTACTATAATCATGGGGCACGGCAAAGACCGAGGCCCCAGGATGAACATGTTGAGATGCCAGGACAGGCTGGGCCCACACTGACTGGCACCAGCAGTGGAGCACCCTGCATGCCTCAGCACTCTGGTATGACAGCCTGCATCCTTGGGACCTGGGGGGCTGGCTCCCGGCCTTCCACTCACTTCTCAGACTTGCAGGCCAGATCTCTTCAGAGTGTAGCAAATGGGAAACCACCCCATTTCACCAACCTTGTGCACACCAGTGCTCAGCACTGGAGCTGACCACTAGTGATCAAGGAGCAGGGAGCTGTCCTGTGCTGAGAGGAAAGGCCCTGCCTGGGACCTGACAGCTGGTGAGGCGAGCTGGGGTGGGGTGAGTGTGCTACCATTTCAGTTTTACTACAATACAAATTCGCTGGGTGCCCTGTGTGGCGACCATGGAGCCAATCCTGCACGTCGGAGCCTTGCTAGGTCCTGCACTTCACCTCTGTTGCTGTCCACAGGGAGCTCTGGACCTTCAGCTGGCAGCTTAGCTGCATGCCTGCGCAGCTCAGTCTTTGCACTTCCAGAAGGCCCTTCTCCGTATTCACCACCGTGTAGTTCCTGCAGTTGGTGACAAAGCAATCAGTTCCCAGTGGCCCAGTCAGGTTACCAGAGGACTTAGGCCTCATCCACCCCTGCATCCCAGGCCACAGGGAGCATCTTGGCTGTGCCCTGAGAACTGGAGCCATTCAGCTGGGTGGTGTGCTGGCCAGTTCAGGGGGCCCCTAAACAGGCCCATACAAACTGGTCCCCTAACAGGGTCCAGAGAGCTGCCTTGCCTCCCCTCACCTCTGACCACAGCCGGCCGTCCTTTCCTATTTCAGCACAGCAGAAGCCCTGGCCAGAAGGCTAGAGGGCAAAGCCAAGGCTACAGATGAGGGGAAGTTCAAGCAGCCAGGAGTGCTCTGGGAATGGGCCCAGGTCTCCTGTGTGGAGCGTGGCAATCTCACCCCTTAATTCCAATGATGTTAAAATTTAATGTGAGCAACTCTGAAACTATAGGATGTATAATATTCTAAAATCATTATTTATATCCTATATCTCTGCTCTCTTCTCCTCCCTTCTGCTCTTAATCTTTAATAAAACTTAAATACTGTTTCACACCTCCTCCAGCCCTGCCCTCTTCCTGTTCTCCCTGTCCTCCCTCCTGGTCTCCCTGCCCTCCTCCTGGTCTCCCTGTCTCACCTCCTGGATCCTTGGTTATTTGTCTAGGAAACACTCCTACAAGTAGATGGCAGGGTCAGAGTATCATTGTTGAAGGCAATAGAGTAAGAGAAAATTGTTGTTCATCTGTATGCAGCTCACATGCCCCTGTGTTTCCACATGCTGCCATGTCCATGAGGTCCTTGCTGTCTACGTCTGTGCTCACTCTCTAGACCCCAAAGACACTCTCAACTTCTGTACTTTTCTTCCTTTCCCGACAAAATCCAACTCCATGTGAAACGCCTTCATTGTCTATCCCACAATATAGGCAACTGGACACTGCTATTGATCTTTGTGGGGAAAGGGGACATCTACCCCTTTCTTAGATTCCAGCCCCACCAGGGCCACCACATCAGACATCCTGGGCCTAGGGTATTCCCTGATGGAGGCTGCGAGCTGGACATCTCTGCCCCCCTGGGATGTTCCCTGATGACGGAGGATCAGACCTGGACCTCTGTGTGCTCCCAGGATGCTCCCTGATGATGGAGGCTGGGAGCTGGACCTGTGTCCCCTAGGCTCTTCTCCTGACCAGGGATGAACTCGCCTGGCATTTCTCAAGATGAGAGAACTGTAGAACAACTTCAAGCCTCGAGTTGCAATGTTTAAAGATGCTATGGGTAGAATATGGAATGACCCAGGAAGCATCAAAAGAAGATAGAAAGAATACACAGAGTCACTTTACCAGAAAGAATTGGCTGACATAGGAGAAATTCGTAAAACAACATATGATCGAGAGGCAACGGTGATGAAAGAAGACATTTCAGCTGCTTTGAAGGAATTGGCAAAACACTAAATGACGTATTTCAACAAACGAATGCAGACCTGGATGTGCTCACCAGGTTATGCCAAGAAATCTGAAGGACAACTACCTGGACAACTGATTGGAAGAGCTCTATATTTATTTCCATTCCAAAAAAAAGGTGATCCAACAGAATGTGGAAATTATTGAACAATATCACTACTATTACATGCAAGCAAAATCCTGCTGAAGATTATAAAAAAATGACTGGAACAGTCTAACAGAGAACTACCAGAAATACAGGCTGGGTTTGGAAGAAGCCATGGCACTAGGGACCTCATTGCCAATGTCAGATGTATCTTGATTGAAAGCAGAGAGTACCAGAAGAATGTCTAAGCAGGCTATAAGCCACTGTCTTGGAATACTCCCCTCGGCTCTACCGGCCTCCAGCAGGCAGTACCCCATTCTGATTCTCCTGACCTCAGTGCTCTCAAGCGCTCTCTCTATTGTGGACACTACTCCCTTGGCCCCTATATCCTTTCTAGTGGACCCAGCCAGCATCTAAGCCACCCAGAAACACTCTCATTGCCATCTCTGCACATGGAAACTTCTCACTGAATTATAGGTAGGGTGCCGGCAGCCTCCGAGATTACCTGGCCTCCTCTCTACCGTCCCAGAACACCACGGTGTATTCCTGGCCCGGGGACGAGAAGAAGGATGTCTGCCTCCCACAGGGCAGCATGTACATGAAGACTGCAAACGTCGGCTCCTTCATCTGGCTCACCACAGACAGGGCCAGGGGTCGCTGCAGGAAGAGAGTGCAGCAGGACATGAGCGGGCCGGGCCATTCATGACCCTGCCAGCAGCCATTCTGACCATGCCAATGGCTGTCCCGAATGTGAGGGGAAATAAGTGAGTCACTGTCAGGATTTGATCAGGACAAGAGGCTGAGGTGACTTCAGATGCCAGAAACAAACACCCCCAGACACCTGGGCCAAATAATCCATGGCAACCAGAACCCTAGGATTCACCATCTTCTTCAGCTCCAGTGACAGTGTGTTAGACCAGGACTGTCCACTGGATAAATGAACTTTGAAACCACTGTCTTTTCCCAAAAACCACCCAAAAAACTCTGAACCCTCCCCAGAAAATCCAGCTGTGCTCATAAGCAAGTACTTTGCCCTCGTTACTCTAAAAACAAACAAACAAACAAACATGAGTTCTTTCTGTTCTTGCACAGTGACTCAAATACTATCAAGAGAAGCTGGTGTGGTTTGGGCGGGTAATGACATAGCAGAAGCTGGGGAGGAAAAGAAGACTCCTCTGTCCTGAGGGACAAATATGTCCAGACAAGAAGTCTGGCCACTCTGGGAGCAGTAATGTTTACTTCCAGGCCTCCAAGCTCTGACCCTCAGGTACCTTCTCAGGCTTGGTGTCCCAGCACTCTGTCATGAGTGCCTGCAGCCGGTGGAATTGCACTTCCTCTGGCTGTCCCAGAACAGGCCGCACACCTTTGGATAGCTTCTTGGCAATCTGCAGCTGGTGGTGGCCTAATGCAGGCCGTTGTCCTGATAGCAGCTCGTAGAGCACCATTCCATAGGAGAACATGTCTACCTGGGAGAGAGCAAATTGCATCAGATCCCCACTCAGCCCTGCAGCTTCCTGAGCTGGCTCTGAGGCTGAGGGAGCAGAGATACAAAACTAGACAAGGAAAATATGGGTTGTGCCCAGAAAGAGGCATTTACTAATGCACCCGTCTTCACCAAACAACAGTGCAGTCAACCAAACGGGTTGACGGACCATCCTTCTGCTTATTCATCCATCAATCCAACCATTCATCCATCAGTTCACCCATTTACCCACCCACCTTTCCATCCATACACTCATCCATCGACCTAACCATCCATCAATCCACCCACTGACCCATCCACTCATCCACCCAATGATCTACCCATCCAACCATCTACACACATGTCCATCCACCTACCCACCCACCTATCTATCCATCCATCCACTCATGTATCCACCCACCCATCCATCCAAACATAATTTATCCAAACATTGATCCATTCACCCATCCATCACTTATCCATACACCCATTTTTCATCTATCCATCCACCTATCCACCCATCTGCTCATTTACTCACCCACCCCCCACCCATCCATCTATCCATCCATTCACCCATCCATCATCCATCTGTCCAGCCAGCCATTCATCTACTCATTCACTCACCTACCCACCCACCCATCCATCTTTCTTTCCTTCCTTCTCTATGTGGATCTGTCACTCTATCTGCTCATTTATCCATCCTTACAGAAACCCACCCTGGTTGTCTCTGTCACTGGATCCAGCTGTTACTTCGTAGTCGGTGGTTAGGGCCCAAGGTCTCTATGAATCTGCTCCTGTCTGCTCTTTACAACTACACACGAACCTCATCTGTGTCTGCATTTGGCCCCTTGAAATGGCAGAGATAAGATTCTTATCTTTTTCTACTCTATCTTCAGCATCTATAGTGTCTCTGAAGTCTAAGAATTATGTGACTAAGTCATGGTTCCTGAAGTGAATGCAACATTAATCCATCTAACAATCATATGCGGGACAAAGATGGGAAATCTCCTCTCATGCGATTAACTGCCTCTGAAAAGCTGATGGAGAATCAGCTATGAGTCTGTTCCAAGTCTGTCGTACACAAGAACAATAGTCATATGAAGTCCTGATGGTAAGGAAATGCACTGCTAACACAAAGGTACACAGTTCAAATCTACCAGCTGTTGTTGTTGTTGCTATGTGCTGTCAAGTCACTTGTGACTCATAGCGACCCTATGTACAAGAGCCCTAAACCCTACTCTATCCTGTGCCAACCTCACTGTCTCTGACACACCTACTCCCATTATCCCAATCACTGAATCGATCTATCTCATCGAGGGTCTTCCTCTCCTGCGCTGTCCCTCCACTCTCCCAAACATGATGTCCCTCTCCAAGGACTGGTCCCTCCTTGCAACATGCCCAAAGTATGTCAGATGAAGCTTCAAAATCCACAGGAGAAACACAGGACAGTCTCCTCTCATGTGATTAAATGCCTCTGCACTTGCAAGATGGTTAGCTATGAGCTGGTTCCAACTCGACAGCACACAACCACCACCATCACCAGTCATACAGAAAATACTATGTGCTCCCTTCCTATAGGAGCTAGAGCCGCCCTGGGGGCAGGGACAGAGCTCACAGGGTACTGAGCTCAGGAGCTGACTGCTGTTTGGCCTCAGATGAGACATGGGCTTCTGCCTGAGAGGGCTGAGCTCAAAGGGCAGGGCTGGGGTAGGTACCTTCTCATCATACACAATGCGGGGCCTGACCTCCGGAGCCTGGTAGCCAGGTGTGCCCTCCACGCCCAAGGCACCCTCGTGAAATGACTGCCGGGAGATGCCGTAGTCTGACAGCTTGATGTTGATGTGTTCTCTGACATCCAGAGACCAGACTAGAATGTTGTCTGACTTCAAGTCACAGAAGATGATGTTTTTCTTGTGCAGGTAAGCCAGGCCAGAGGCGATCTGGTAGGCTACTTTCAATGTGAGCATGTGTCCCAGGGGCATAAAGGAAGAGTCTGGGAAGGGAAAAACCTCTGTCAGATGGTTACTGCAGCAACCCTCTTCTTTTTCAACTACTTTGTATTGTACAGACATATTCTTGCCATTCTACACCAAGGTGTCTAAAAGGATAGTGAGCTAATAGGAAATGCCACTAAAAAGAAATAGATCTATTGTTGTAGCTTTACCCATGCATCTCATACCTGAAATGGCTGGTGTTTTCACTGAAACAGTAGATTAAAAATTCCTAGAATATGCTCAGCCCAGAGTTGCTTACTGTCCACTGTAGGTCACTAATACAAAAATTTCATTTAAAAACAAAGCGCTTCATGCAGGGGAAGAAGGCTGCTTTTCATAGTATTACTTCTGCTTTTGTTAAAAGACAGGTATCTCTCCCCCTATTAACTCTTTGGAGGTTAGCTTTCCATTTGTCAAGGTAACCTGTTTTAAAATTTAGTGAAAAATTGAGTATGATAAAACTGATCCAGTGGTCTCAGAATTTGAACAATGGCCACAGTCAAATTCTGTAAATAACAGAGACAGAAGAAAACTGTGGAAGGCTGACAGGAAGGGGAAGGGAGAGAGCAGAGGTTGGCAGATGGACAAGGGAGATGAAGGGAAAGGGAGGGCTCAGTGAGAATTTGATAAGACATTGTAATAAAAGGAATTGATCAACTGTTAAGAAAAAGAGAAGAAATTCAGCAAAGGTAAACATTATTACATACATATCACTGCAATAACAGCCATGACAGACACAAATCTATAAGCGAGTATGTAAGCAGGGAGACAAGGGCAGGGAAAAGGGATTATATGTGTTACAACACATGTTTGGCTGAAGATATCCTTTCATTTATATTCATACACACTGTAATGTATCCATGTTGACAGAGTTTAATCTAACTTAACACCCTGAAGGGATGAGCTGCTGGTCTCATGGCCGTGTGGCCAGTCTCCTGGAACACTGAGGTCAAATAGCATGACACAATGCACAAAGTGACGTACAGCCTACTCTGACGAGTAGTGATGGGGATTCTAAACACTGTTGATCATCTGCACCTCAGCTACTGGTCTTTTCCTGTCTGAAACAAGGGGGAGGAAAGAAAAGAACAAATGCCTAGAAACAATTAGAACAAAAGGCCAATGGGCAACATGAACCTCAACTCCTACCACCCAGACCGAGGAACTAGAGGGTGTCAGAACCCCTGCTAACTGCTCCAAAATGTCCTGGCTAGAGTGTGGGGACACACACACAAATAGAAGCAAAAATGTCCTACCAGAGACTGGGAACCTTGACACCAAACATATTCCCATGGTTCAGCTCTCCCCATGGTTCAGCTCTCACGCAAACAACAGACAGGTCAAAAGGTGAAAAATGACACACACTCACTCCATACAATTACAACCCACATAAGATCAAAAGGGCAGCATTTATCCAAAGAAGGCAGGAAGGGATAGGACAGGATTAATGGAAACAAGAATCATAGGGAGAAAGCAGGAAAAGTAGAGTCACACTGTCAAAATCATAATCAACGTTTTTTGTTTTTTACAAAATATATCTAAATAGTTGGATGAAAAACAAAATGGTTTTTGTAAAATTTAACTTAAATCACACGTTGTTGTTGTTATGTGCCACTGAGTTGCCTACAACTCATAGTGACCCTATGTACAACAGCTCTGAAGCCTGCCCTGTCCTGAGCCAGTCTCACTGACTCTGACACACTTACCCCCATTACTTCAGTTACTATATCAGTCCATCTCATCCAGGGTCTCTCTTTCCTGTGCTGTCCCTCCACCCTTCTAAACATGATGTCCTTCTCCAAGGACTGATCCCTCCTGGCCACATGCTCAATATAAGTGAGATGGAGCTTCAAAATCGTATTCTCCAAAGAAAAACTTAGTTTAACCCTCTCCAAGACAGACTTATTTCTTTTCTTGGCAGTCCATGGTATGTTCAAGACTCTTCTCCAGCACCACAACTCAATGGCATCTATTCCTCTTCTGTTATCCTTAGTCACTGTCCAGCAAAGCAAGTCATTGTCCAAAGACTTAGGCCTAGATGAGGAACACCTTAGCCTCTAGACTGACATTGGTTCTCAGTGCTCTGGAGAGGTCCCTGACAGCAGATTTCCCCAGTGCAATTTGTTTTGATTTCCTGATTGCTGGTGCCAATAGTGTTGATTGTGGAGCTAAGCAAGCTGTAACTTTATTTAACAACCTTAGTCTCTTCTCCATCCATCATGGTGCTGCCAATTGGCACATAATCTTTGTTTTCTTGATGTTGAGCTTCAGTCCTTGATCTGCAGCAAGTGCTTCAGGCCCTCCTCAGTTTCAGCAAGCCAGATTGTGTCATTTGCATAAGGCAGGATATTGATGAGTCTTACTCCAATAAAAAGGGCAAAAAAATTTAACTGATTGCTAAAAAATTAGTAGATTGCTAGATGTTTTTAGTCTGGAAGTATCACAGCAACAACACCTAAACCTCCAATGAGAGAAAGATGGTGGCTGTGCTTGGGGAGAAGTGGCCAGGCCTCAAAACAGGTGTCCCACATGGAAGGCATGATTCTGTCATGGAACTGCCTCACACGCCACAGTTCAGTGATGACTTAGGATCATAAGGCCTCCCATGTTGAAGGCATGACTCCACTGTGGAACTGTCTCAAGCGTCACAGGTCAGGGATGACTTTCGGCTCATGAGGTACCTTGGAACTGCTTCACACACCACAGTTCAGGGAGTATTTACTACTCATGGAGTGTCCCATGTGGAAGGCATAGCTGTACTGTGGAATTGGCTCACACATCACAATTCAGAGGCAACCTGTGGCTCGTGGGGTGTCTCACGTGGAAGGCATGATTCTACTGTGGAATCACCTTAGCACACCACAGTTCAGGGAGGACTACAGTTCATGAGGTGTTCCATATGGATGGCATAACTGTACCATGGAAGTGTCTCAAGTGCAACAGTTAAGGGAAGATTTATGGCTCATGTGTTGTTCCACATAGAGGTACAACTATGCCATGGAACTGCCTCAGGTGCCATAGCTCAGGGACCACTTAAGGACTCCCGAGGTCTCCCATGCTGAAGGCACAATTCTACGGCAGAATTGCATCACTTGCCACAGTTCAGGGAGGAATACAGTTCACACGGCATGCCACGTGGAAGGCACAACTGTACTGTGGAACTGTCTCCTGTGCCACAGTTCAGGAAGGACTCAGGGTTCATGAGGTGGAAGACACTGTTGCACCATGGAACTATCTCATGTATCACAGTTTGGGGGCAGCTTTTCAGCTCATGTGCTGATGGAGATCTGCCTCATTGAGACTAAAGAGTACCCCCAGCCAAGCACTTTGTGGACCTCCTCTGACAAAAGAAGCTGAGTGACATTTTTGGGCCATGTCAGGGGACCAGCAATGTGGCTGTAATGCCACAGCCTCCAGGCTTTGTTCCTTTGACCACACAGCACTCTGGCCACATCAGCAAATGTCTTCACACACCAGCAAATACCCTGTGAAGGCTGGGCTCACTGTGGATGTGCCAAAAGCTCTGGCTGATAAGCCTGCACCCAGGATGCTGTAAGGGGCCCTGCAGCCTTGGGGCCCACCCTGCCCGCCACAGCCTGGCCGTGTCCCAGCTTCCAGCCCTACCTTTGGCTTTGTCAGCCAGCACAGTGTTGAGGCTGCCCAGTGGAGCGAGCTCCAGTGCGAAGCCAAGTGGGTGGATGCTGATGCCGATGAGTGAGACGACGCAGGGGTGCTGCAAGGCATGCAGCATGCTGGCCTCTTGCCGGAAGTCTGAGAAGTTCTTCATGGCGTCTGTGGCCCGCAGGTGCCGCAGCATGGTATCTGCCAGGAAAAGTGGGCATCAAAGCTGTCCTGAGAGGTGCTAGCCAGGCAGCCCCTCTGAAGACTGCCATCGGGTCCTCCCCACTCTCAGGCGACCTCACAGGACTTGAAGTGTTGAGTGGAGATGATATTTGAATTTTATAGGCCTTGGATCAGGGAAGTTCCCATGTAGAATCTGGATTCAAACTGTGGTGCTACTGAGAGGTATTTGGGCCGAGTCATCACTTCCGAGCACATCAGGCCTCTTTCCCTGCCACTCAACACAGATCTGGCACACCTGGTGTTTCCTGAGAACCCACCGGGCATGACCCCCCACTATGATTTATGTGTGTATCTCAAAAATACACATTGAAAAATACATGGTATCCGCACTGCACATAAGACCAAGATTAGGGAATGGAATCTGTCTTTGTGGATGTTATCATGAAGGCACTCCAGCCGAGGAGTCCTAGCCCTCACTCCTTCCTAATGGTGACTGATGAGACAGAAGGCCAGGTGACAGGTGGTTATGTGGGAAGGCAGAGGGCAGGCCTTTGTCTGTGAGCTGGGGTACACACATCTGGGACTCAGGGAGCTGGGAGATACACTGATTTGCCCTGGAGTCACCACTAAATAGTGGACAATGTCCAGGAATTGAAAGAACAACAGAAGGCAGAGCAAATCAGGTAGACCAGTTTCGGGCAGGGTTCTGTGGCTGACTGGGCAGAGCTGGGCAGGGCCTGACCTGAGCGCACGCCATCTCATTGGCTTCACACTTCCTATGTGGCACAGCTCATTGAAAGAGCCAGTTGCTATTAAACCTGTTTTTATAACTGAATACGATGAAACCAAGTTGGCTTTTTCTATTTTGAGTTTCATGCTCAGGTATGATAGGCAAAGCTGCTTTCCTATGGAAAATAGAATCACACAATTGAAGGCACTGTTATCTCCAGTGGAGCAGTTGGAAAATTAATCTGCCCTTTTCACAGGCAAAAAGGCACTTCCATCTCTGGCCTGAAATCATGTCGCCCTGGGTGCTCTTCTCCCACCAAATCGGATGCTCATGGCCTGCAGGCTGCCAGCACGCAGTGCCTGCATTCTTCCTGTGTCCTGCTCACTGTTACCCTCGCATCAGAGAGAGAGAAGCTCCCCAGCCCCCCAGGGGGCAGCTGCAGCCTCTGACCTGCCATCTCAGGCTGATGAGAAGTCTGCAGAGGTGGCAGGTGACTTCCTGCTCATCTCCTTCCCCCAGTGCCCCAGCCCCCACCCTGGAAACCCTCTGTGTTCAACGGGTGGTCACTAGCCAAGGGCACAGCCAAGTTCTACTGTCCTTGTGTGCCCTGTGTCTGTACTTCAGGCAGAGGATGTAAAAGTCAAAGAGGATGGAAAACCTTGGTGATTACACCAAGGGTTCCAGGTGAAGCTGGAGCCATGGCTGCACCTCACTCAGCCCCATCCCCTGTCCCCAAGTCCCTAATTCAGATCAACCACACAGGATGTGCCACCAGTTCTTGAGCAGTGACTTGTCCATCACAAGAGTGAAGTGAAGCAGTTTTTGACACTGTACAGATGTGGGCCACTTTAGATTTTGAAGCTGTTCCAAACCATCACCAACCCGCAGCAGCCTGGAATGAGTCAGAGGAATGCTCCACACAGATCTGACAGCTGGCTTTCTGGAAGTAAATGACTACTTCTGCCTTCAGCATGCACCGTCATGGACACCTGCCCTCTCAGCCTTTTAGTCAGCAGCTCAGTGGGTCAACCATTTATACCAACAACACAAATCCCAAAGGCATTTCCCTATTTCTAAGACCATTAGAGGAAGAGAAGAAAGTTTTCTTTTGATAAAGCACCAAGCTGTGCTGAGGCTGCCTCTGAGGAGAGAAAGAATGGGTCTAGAAGACAGGCATGGGTGGGGGCAGTGTGTTGGGGCCGGACAGCTGAGGTCTGCAGCAGCTCAAAGACTTGTGTCCTACCCTGACATGACTTCGGGTGCTGGGCACCACAGCCCCAACAATCCCAAGGGCAAAAGAACAAGACACCTGCCAGACATGGGCGGTAATCAGGGCCAAAGCTGAGAACAAATGTGGACAAGGGTGTCTCTGATGAGGCGTATAGACATGGATTGAGGGGGAGCTGAAGACAACTCCACATTGTCCTCACTCTAAGCCCCAGCACCGACATCTCTAATGAGATGTCATGGTGGGTGAGCACGGCAGCACCACGAAGCACAGTGGTGGTGATGCTTTGACTGGTGGGACGTGACCGCCTATGGAAATACTGAGGCCTTGTGACAAAAGGGAAACACGGGAATCTCGTGACCTGCGGGACAAGACTGTCTATGGAAAGGCCAGGGGAGACACCAGGGCTTCCCCACCTGGCGAAAAACCCCACGACAGAGGGCAACACATGTAGGTAAATGAAAGGTAGCCAGTGACTGCCTGAGGTGGCCTTTAGGGATAGCCAGGACCACTCCTCTGGGGGCAAGCAGGGTGAGTGGGATAGCTGGGCAAGGTCTGCGCTCGAGCCAGGTCAGTGTCCATGAGTGAGCGAGCAGGCCACCAGGATGTACCCATGCAACAATGTAGTGGCCTCACAGGGCAGCAGATCCTTGTATGCTGAGCTGACCTGTGTCAGGGTGAGGTCTCCTGGAAGAAAATCTGGCTCCTGCTGGGTGCCTTGGGCAAGCTCAGCTCATGAGCAGGCTGGCAACTGTGGTGGTGACTGCTCCAGGGAAGCTTGTTCAGTTGGCTAGAACACAGGTAGGACTTCCATCATGGAACATTAATACTATTATCTTCTACAATGAGAGGCTGTCATCAACTTAGCTGTGAAAGAGGAGTTTTCTAGAGGTTGAAGTTTGCCTCAAATAAAAAAATGCGTGTTCCTGCCAAGCTTACTCTCCCTGACTACAGACTTTTCCTGCCTGTCCTGCAGTGTGTGGCTGTTAAGGGTTAATTATTCAAAGGGCTTTCCTAGTCACTGATTAATCTTGTATTTTGTGAGGAAGTATTTACTGAACTATAAGATTAGAGTGGGATACAAGCCCCGCCCTATTAGAGGTCAATATAATCTCAAGGGACCTCAATGCTCACTCTCCTCTCCTTTTTTGAGAAGCTCACTCTCTAGGACTACACCTGATAGTCTACAGGATCCTGGCTCATTGCTCATTGCTCATTGCTCATCAGCTCTGCATTCACCCACAGTTGCATGAGTCATTTCCCTCATAGGTCCAAGTCTCTGTGAGACCTTTCAGCTAATCACGAACCCAAGAGACACAGAGGAGTGGAGGAACTGAATGAAGGAGGAATGAATGAATTCGGAAATCATGGAGCGGTACAACAGATCAAACATTTGGGACATTGTTGACTTTTTTTGCCTTTTAGTAACTGTTGTTGTTTTTGTTGTTATGTGCCATCGAGTAGCTTGCAACTCATAGGGACCCTATCTACAACAGCCCTAAACCCTGCTCCAATCTAACTGTCTCTGACACACCCACCCTAATTACCAGAGTCACTGAATCAATCCACCTCCTGAATTCAATCAATTCCCCTCCTGAACTGTCCCTCTACCCTCCCAAGTATAACGTCCCTCTCCAAGGACCGGTAAGTATGTCAGACAAAGCCTCGGAATCCTTGCCTCCAAGGAGCAGCCTCTCCAGGATGAACCTGTTCATTTTCTTAGCAGTCCATGGTACCCTCAATACTCTTCTCCAGCACCACAGCTCAAAGGCATCAATTCTCCTTCTATCCTTCTTCACCATCCAACCTGATGCTGCCAAGTGGCTCAGTGGTAAGAATCCTTATCTTCTTGATATTGAGCCTTAATCCATACTGAAGGCTACAATCCTTGACCTTCTGCACTAAGTGCTTCAGGTCCTCCTCAGTTTCAGCAAGCAGGGTTATATCATCTGCATAATGCAGATTGTTGATGAATCTTCTACCAATCCTGATGCCACACTTCTCCTCATACAGCCCAGCCTCCCAGATAATCTTTTCTGCATACAGGTTGAAAAGGTATGGAGACAGGACACATCCCTGGCATATACCCTTCCCAAGTTTGAACCATGCAGTGTTTCCTTGCTCTGTTCTGATAACTGCCTCCCGGTCCAAGTATAGGTTTCGCATAAGGTGTTCTGGGATTCCCATTCTTCTCAGAGTCAGCCACACTTTGTTATGATCCACCTGTCAAATGCCTTTGCATAATCAATGAAACACAGATAGACATTCCTCTGGTATTCCCTGCTTTCAGCTAAGATCCATCTAACATCAGCTACAATATCCCTAGTACCAAGACCCCTTCTAAACTCAGCCTGGACTTCTGGCAGTTCCCTGCTGATGTGCTGTTCCAGTAATTTTTAGTTAATCTTCAGCAGAATCTTGCTTGCATGTGGTATCAATGATACTGTTCTATAATTTCCACACTCTGTTGAGTCATCATTCTTTGAAATGGGAACAAATATAAATCTCTTCCAGTCAGCTGGCCCCGTGATTGTTCTCCAGATTTCTTGGCACAACTTGGTGAGCAAATCCAGGGCAGCATCTGTTAGCTGAAATGTGTCAATTGGTATGCCATCTATTCCTGGGGCCTCATTTTTTGCTAATTCCCTCAAAGCAGCGTTAACCTATTCCTTTATCACCATAGGCTTTTGTTCATACGTTGTTTCATGAAACTCTTCTGCTAATTCCCTCAAAGCAGCGTTAACCTATTCCTTTATCACCATAGGCTTTTGTTCATACGTTGTTTCATGAAACTCTTCTGTGTCTGCCAATTCCTTCTGATACAGTGACTGTATACTCTTTCCATTTTCTTTTAATACTTCCTGGATCATTTAATATTCTGCATAAAGCATCTGTAATTATAGCAACTTGAAGTTTGAGTTTGTTCTTCAGTTTTAGTATCTAGTCTGCTTCTAATCTTAGCAGAATGGATTGTAAATGCAGCACCTAAATGTGCACAAGTTTTTGGTCTGTCTCTTGACCTGCAGGCTTTGGATTTGGCAGCTTCTATAACAACAAATG